AAAAAAAAAAAAAAAAAGTTTGTGTACAGATAGCATCTCACTATATTGCCCAAACTACTGGCACCATCTATAAAGGCAAAAATTACCTGTGGAAAAGCATGGCCAGATCTGAGTTCAAAACCTAGTTATGAACCTTGGACAAGTAACTTAACTTATATGAGCTTTCGTTTCCTTATCTGTAAAATTAAGATAATAATAGCTATACAAGAGGGTTTTTGCAAGGCTGCAAAAACTGCCTACGGAGGTGAGTATTTAATACATGACTACTAATATTAGGAGTAGTGCACTTACCTGTGATCTGAAAAGGAGCCTGGATGAGCCGCTGCTGAACTCCCCTGAGTAGCTCCTCTATTTCCTTCTGTATATTGCAGACAACCTCTTCCATCAGCCCTACATCAGCTATTCCTTTCCAGAACATCAAAGTGTCCTCTGTCACAAGGATAAGACAGAGGGTAAACAAGAGATGCTACATATTTAGGCAAATCTCTACAATGTTAAATTCAAAATTATTTAATTCAAAAGGATTTCTTGTTGGGCCATTCCTGAAAAAAGGGAAGAAGCTTTGGAATACAAGATGCTTCCCTGAGTTGGCACCTAATCATTTAGCCCCTTCAGCAGCATAGGTGCTTGGAATAATTGCCTCAATTTATCATAGTTCTCGCTACAAAGAACAGTTATCTTCCTCCAATAAAGATATTAATTAAATTAACTATTAAACATGTTAGTATTAAATAAAAATGAAATATTTAACATTAAATATTAGTTAATTTAAAAATGAGACATTTAGGCCGGGCGCGGTGGCTCACACCTGTAATCCCAGCACTTTGGGAGGCTGAGGCGGGTCAGTCACCTGAGGTCGGGAGTTCGAGACCAGCCTGGCCAACATGGTGAAACCTCGTCTCTACTAGAAATACAAAAAATTAGCTGGGCGTGGTGGCGCATGGCTGTAATCCCAGCTACTCAGGAGGCTAAGGCAGGAGAATCATTTGAACCTGGGAGGCAGAGGTTGCGGTAAGCCAAGATCACACCACTGCACTCCAGCCTAGACAACAAGAGTGAACTCCGTCTCAAAAAAAAAAAGAGAGAGATATTTAATATCCTAAAATTTAAATAATAAAGATATTAAATTAAATATTAATTAATATGTACTCCCTAGCCCTATACTTAAGAAAATAAAACAAAACAGTTGGATAGGTAGGGCTATATAAGCTCTCTGAGGGTGGTGGCTATGTTTTTTCACGTACATACATAGCATCTTACAACAGTGCCAACTAAAAATAGGCAATAATAAACACTTATTAAATGAATTAAAAAATGGAGGGTGATGTGAAGCTTCTTCTGGTCCCCTCTAAGTGAATCGTCATTAATCGCCATGCTCTACAACACTTGCCACCTATTTTTTCCTTCTAACATCTCAAAGCTTAGTTTATCTAAGAGGGTGCAAAAGTTGGAGGCAGTCTGATCGGATGAAAAGCACAGACTACGTAGTCAAACAGTTAAATTCAGCTCTAACAAGTGTTGGTTCTAACTGATCTTAGGCAAGTTGCTAAACCTTTCTGAATCCTGATTTGTATGTAAAATGTGACTATACAAGGGTATTGCATGGATTAAAGTAGGATGTTTGTAGCTATTGTTAGTATTTGCATGCACGAGAAAAGCCAGCAAAAGTAATTAAGAGGTCTTCCGTATCCATAATCATAATGGTGATAAGGGTCACAAGACCCTGCAAGATATTGGAGCCCTAAAGAAAAATACCTGAAATTTCCTCTGAGTCTTTCTTTACACCCTCCTCCGTGGCCATGGTGACAGCAGCAGTGAGAGCTGAGTTCCATTCCAGCCCTGCCTCTTCCATGCTCTCTTCTGAGATGGCAATCTGTGTGATGCTACCTAAAAGCAATCCAGTAGAGGTGAGAACAGTGAATTTAATGAAAAAGTTATAAATATCCTATATCTCATACATAACATCTACAGAGATCTTGTTATTTTAACATTCTAGCCTCTTGGCTGCAGGTCCCTATTTTAAAAACTAGACTCTTAGGTAAGTGAGGATGAATATTGAATTTTCTAAAGAAAACCTGCCTTGCAAAAAAAAAAAAACAACGCTTTCTTACTTTGAATAGAAAGTGAAAAATAATTTATCAAATCACAAAAGAGCAATGTGTTTCCTGAGTAGATATGTTTTTGAAAGAGATTGAAGGCCGGGCGCGGTGGCTCAAGCCTGTAATCCCAGCACTTTGGGAGGCCGAGGCGGGTGGATCACAAGGTCAAGAGATCGAGACCATCCTGGTCAACATGGTGACACCCCGT